TATATATATATATATATAGTTATAGTGTGTCAGGTATGCAGCTGTTTTCAATATTAGGTGTAATAACTGGACGACCTGCTCGATCCACAGTTGTGCAGTTTGCCTCACATTTCCAGCAGCACAATCTGGTGTTTCTGATTGAGTTCAGCGCTGATTAACAGTGCAGCCCCGCACCTAAATGATGTGAAATCTGTACTGCTTCACACAGGGACAGAAATGTAAAATATAATAATTTTTTTTTTTTTGGTCTAATTGGCAGGTTTTATTTTCTTATCTCTTTTAATTGGCTGAGAAATCAATTACACTGCTGGACAATAATCAATAATTTGTATTCTGTAATGTAATATTTTTCCTATTTCCTATAACTAATAAATAGGCCTTTACGAGAAATATATTTTTACTTAAATAATAAATTAAGAAAATGAAAGAAAAACTGTGCAACAAGTAGCCTAGTATGCAGAGTTTCGGTTCATTGTTGTGCTGCGAGAAAGGAAACAGACAGAAAGCCGCGTCCTATTTTTCTTTAGGCTTATTTTACAAAAGCACAAAGATTTGTTTTTATTGTGAATGTACACAAATAAAGGCAAACCTTTTACAATTCCGATTATCTTTAGGACTAAAAGGAGTAGTTGCTTCCACTGTTAGAAGGAAAAAATCAAGCACCAAGAGCTTGTAACACTCCAAAGAGAAAGGAAAAATTTAAATTGCATCATATGACCCCATATAAAAATGAAAGAAAAACTGTGCAACAAGTAGCCTAGTATGCAGAGTTTCGGTTCATTGTTGTGCTGCGAGAAAGGAAACAGACAGAAAGCCGCGTCCTATTTTTCTTTAGGCTTATTTTACAAAAGCACAAAGATTTGTTTTTATTGTGAATGTACACAAATAAAGGCAAACCTTTTACAATTCCGATTCTCTTTATGACTAAAAGGAGTAGTTGCTTCCACTGTTAGAAGGAAAAGCTCAAGTGATTGCGCCGGCGCCGCATGCGCGCACAGTTAAGCTTTGCTACCCTGACAATGCAGCCTGTTCATTATCATCATACAATACAGTCAGTCAAACATATGGAGAAAAAATATGTAGTAAAATCTGTTAAGCCGTTAAGGTAAAGCATTATCACAGTACCGCGTGATGTTATAGGCCTACAAAACATTTTGTTTTACGTGGATATTGGAACGCGAGGGAAGTACATAATAAATAATGAGTGATGTGACATGTGGCCAAGATTGGCTGAAGTTAAGAGTGCATATTCAGTTATTTAAGAAGCTGTTCCATTTTACAAAGATAAGCTGATTGGGTGGAAAAAATAAATAATTAAATGACTTTTTAAACCATTTAACTAATTGTATTAATTGGTCAAAATTCTTACCGGCGGTTAACCGGTTAAACAATTAAAATGAACATCCCTAGTATTAAAACATTGTCTCGTTCTATTGAACCAAGTATATGTCTCATCTCGTGAGCTAAGTGTATTGTCACACCCCTAGTGTCGATAAGCGGTGATATAGCTCATAATTATCCAAGTGTATGATATAACCTAGCTTTCATTCTTCAGGTCAATCATATACTCGTGAAAAAGAAATCAGTTTGAATAAGGAAAGCGATAACTTTGCCGTAGTATTCTTTCAAATGTTAACCTTTTAGGCGCCAGGGATTTTTGGAAAAATGACATCAAGATTTCAAAAGCTTGTGGCTTGAAGTCATAATATTCAGGAAATGGTAGATATTGAATTGATGTTTGAACTTAATTTGCATGTTT